CCTTGTTTAGCACATAAAAATTCATAATATTAGCATATTTAAATTTTCAAAAAATATAAAATTAAATATGCCAGCATAATATATTTTTATGTATTAAACAAATAAAATTTTGATTTTTTTTTTTATGTGATTCTGCCTTTATTTATTTAGATGAACTGCTATATAACACTGTAATATATCAAAAAAGACTAATGTTCATAACTAATAAAGACTCACCAAGCCTAAGCCCAATGCGACCAGCTATAACAACTATTAGTCTCTTCCAAAATTCGAAACTTTCTTTGAATTTTGTAATAACAAAGTTACCCTCCAAGAGTTATAACAGGTTGTTGTATACTATGCCAGAATCTTTCCTTTCCCTTTTAATTTTTTTTTTTTCTCAAAGAGTACAAGATAAAAAGAGGAAAGTTTTAAAAAGTAAACCAAATAAAAATAACCAACAAAAACCCAAATAAACACCAAAAGAATAAAAAAAAAGAAACAAAAGAAAAAAAGAAAAAACCTTAACAAAATGATATAGCCATATCATAGCTGAAAAATTATATAATACTCTTAAATTTAGCTCTACTCTAGATTTAGTTTATATTATTTTCAGAGTAGAGTTAGCCCTGCAAGAATTATTATAAAAAGTTCTCCAAATGATCAATATTAGTCCTTGTTTTATATGATACAGTTTGATTTCTTGATTATCTATCCTAATTCGTATCTCAAGCCAGGTACTGCTGCTATCTAAGAATCTATATCTCAAGCCACCCGCTGCTGTAATTAGAGTTCTTGGGCTGCCGAATCTGTGATTTCTCATAACTCCTATTCTCAATTTGAAAATAGTAAACAATACAGATCTTTTGTAGAAGATATACTAGTTTTCTCACTTTTTGTTTAACAAAAATTTCCTAAAAAAAACCATACCAAGCAAGAATATGAAGTGAGGTTTTTGGTTGTGGGGTTTTCAAAATTTCCAAAAGAGAGTGTTGAAAAAACTTGTTTTGTTGTTCTCCACTGTTTTGCTATAGATAACTTTGTCAATGGAGCTTTATTACTCCACTAAAATTTCATATACAAGAGTACTACCTCTTGCCGGTTATCTTGTATAATGATGCTTTCGGCTTGCATATTGAATATATAGAAGAGTCTTCAAAACAGTATAAGGTTGATTTCTACAAAAACTGTATTTTATATTACCCTACTGCACTTTGAGTACAGGCAATGCTCCAACAAACCTATTTTTTTTTGGTGGAAAAATTGGTTTAAGTGATCATTGGGAGAGTATATTGCTAAGTTTATTAGTAAAATTTTAAGGATTATAATATTTTATATAATTTTATTATTAATAAAAATACTAAAAAATACTATAATTCTCAAAATTTTACTAATTGATTCTAACTTTTTGTTCTAAATAAACCTTTTTAGCACTTAAAAATACATTTATATTTATTTTTTTTATAAATATATATGTGATAATTGAATTTTTAGTGAATTACTATAATATTTATATATTATATTAAATTTTTAGCGAATTTACTTGATTTTAAGAGTAGCAAAATCCCCCAAAATTTATGCAGATTAGTTATGACCTATATGAAAGATGCCCAGAGTTCTGCCATGTGGGTGTGTGAAATTTTCAAACCCTATTATATATATATTTAATTAGTTCTTTGATAAGCTGACAAATTTCTAATAGGCTAGTAGATAATTCTACTGGCATGGTTCTTAATAGTGGTTATGTTGTTGAGATCTAGCTCTCAGAAGCTAGTGTGACAGGTCATATCTGGGCACTCTCAAAGTAGCCGGGTAATGTTAGACTTATATATTAAGGGTAGTTTCATAGTATTAGTTTCTTTTAGATTCAATCTATATATAAATCAATCTTAACTAAGCTTTAGCAAAACTGTCAAAGAATAAATATATATATATATACTATATATATTATTAAAAAAAAAAATTATAAAATTTTTTCTTATAACAGATAATATAAAATCATTTATATCAAAATTTGCACTAAATCGATTTTAAATAACCCAGATTTTGTAGCAAACAATATACAATTGACATACAATACGTGCATATAAAGATATTTATTTATATGTATATACGTATGTTAATTGTATATTTGAAAATTAATTCAAGGTTGTAAATCGATTCTAAAATAGTCGTTCTAATCGTTAGTCGAATTAGAATCGGTATATAAACGATTAAATAATTTGAAATCGATTCTACTATATAATCGTTTTAGGACGTCAGAAGCGCCCTACAACTTACGGCAGTTTGCAACTTCTGCAAATTATGATGTCATGTGAATCAAAGGAAATCAGAAGATTTTTTGAAACTATCTACTTGAAATTGAGAATCTCAAAGCTTCTCCGCCATAATAAAAATTATGGTGTTACACCTTTCTACAAACCACCATAAGTTCAGATCAAGCTAAAATTTAAATCCAATAGTTTGTACATAACAAAAATTTATAGCAAATCGCTAAGAATCAGATCGCAATATTCATCAGTATTTCGAAATAGCGAACATGGGCGTTATTTCGAACTTTGACCCGAATTAGGCTTAATTCGGACCAAAATTCGAAATAATACCCATGCCCGCTATTCAAGAATTTACGGTAATAACAATAAGAAACTTAATAAGAAGTGATTTATTATTTAAATATTTTAACACAAATAAGAAATTAATGATAGATATAAATATTTCTATTAATAAAGTACAATAATTGTTACACTTATAAGAAACTGCTTATTAATCAAATCAGCACAGATAAGTATTGTTTTCAGATACATAATTAATAAAATTATTGTTATGCCTATTGATTAAGTCAAACATGAATACTGTATGAGAAAAGTTAATAAGAAACATCTACATAAAAGTACTACTAATGGGGTTTCAGAATTAACTTTTTTTCAAAATAAGTGGGAGTTAAAAGATCTTATTTTCTTTTTTAGAATTCTGAATCAGAGAATTAAAATTAGCTTTTTTGATAAATATTATCAATAAGCAATTATATAAATAAGTAACTACTTTAAAATATATAGAATTTGTACGTAGGAATGGCATAAAAACGGTTTAAATAATTTTTTAACCATTTTTTATTGTTTTAAATTTTTTTTTAAAACATCGACTGAGATAAAATTTTGCTGAAACTGAAATATTGCTTTCGATTAATTAATTTTAATTTTAGCTGAGAAATTTTTTTTTAAAAAAAATGGCGCTATGTAATTTCAAATTTATTAGATATTACGTAATATATTTGATCGCTTTAATTTTTATTTTTTTAAATGCGAAATTTGCTTATCGGCTAATACAACCTTTCATTCTATATTAGTTTCACATTTGTTTGTATTGAAAGTCCAAAGTTTACAATATTGTCACTATGTAAACCCATTGAATAGGTTTTGGAATGAATTATCTGAAGAACCAGAATCCTGATTTTGATTTCTTGGAATTTCTTACATTTTAATGAATGATCTAATTTCTTGGAATTTCTTACATTTTAATGAATAATCTAATTGGTCAACTGGTTCTACAAAGTCTTCTTCGCAATAATTACATTTTTTGTGAGGTATTGATCAATCATGTTTATCAGGTTCAGCAACTTTTGTAAAGTTCAAATAGATTTCTTTTGACGGGAGAACATAATCATAATAAAAGATAATATATATTTAAATTACGCAATCGGATCATAATTCCGTCTAATGTATTAAAACATTTTTTAACAGATTTAAATCAAACAAACATGATTTTTAAGATCATGTTTTAAAACATTTGCCATCCGCATTACTAGTGTATTTTTATATATATAAAAAATAATTTGTCAATAATAAATAATTCACATTATATAATATCCAGACTAAGAGGAGTTTGATAATGCCATGAGAATTTGCACTGCCCCTCTGGTTCTATTGGTCATATATCCTATTGCAAACTAGAAAATTTTAAGTGCATACATGTTTGGTGTGCAGTTTAGGACTTTAAAAAGAGCTGCTCGTGATTAATGGAAATTTTATATAATAAAATTTTTAATCAGTGCGGTACAGTAACCACGTGTCGAATAGTTTTTATGGTGACACAGTTATAGAGCGCAATCTTCCCACGCTAATACTAAGTATTATTTAGGATATAACTATATATATATATATATATATAATTATATATAACCATAAATATGCTGTACGTATGACACATTTTTACTTTTTTCTCAGTTTTTCATCAAAATAGAAAATGAGGATTTGACAAAAGAACGATCAGTAAAAGAACGATCAGTAAAAGATATTAGTTCATCAGACGATTTTACTCAAATTATTGATGATTTTAATCAATTAAATTTCATTAATTGTCAAAAATCAGCAGATATGAATGACCCAGATGGAATGTACAAGCTTGGATATTGTATGAATATGGGATCGGAGTTGAAAAAGACGAAAAGAAAGCATTTATTTATTATCAAAAATCTGCAGACATGAATAATTCTAATGGAATGTATCAAGTTGGATATTGTTATTATTTAGGAATTGGGGTTGAAATAGATAGACATAAAGCATTTACATATTATCTGAAGTCTGCTAGAACAGGTAATGCTATGAGAATTTTCAAAACTGCCATTTGTTACTTTTATGGAATTGGCATGGAATAGTGATTGGCGCTATAATCATGTGATGCTAATTGTCACGTGGTAAAATATATAAAAATCAACACGATCAGTGGAAATGTCCCTTAATTTTTCATATAACGTATTTTACTATAAGATCAACATGTGACATTTTCACTCTTTTCTAATAGAATTAAGCAAAATCAATTTTTGTCTCAAAGTTAGTTTCGTAAAAGCATAACCTACTGTATTTTTGTATTATAACCTTTATTACTCTAAAGGTTTCTATTTTTTTAATGAAAAGCATATTAATCTTAAAAAGTCAAACCCTAAAAAAGATCTTGAACCTAAGTAAAACCTGCCAGGACATATGTGTTATACCACTACCGGCTAAATTGGTACAGTACAACCAATGGAAAACTCAAAGCAAAGAGGTAAGTATCACAATAACAAAGATAATTGAAAACTATTAAAAATAATAAAAACAATAATTAAGAAATTAAACTTATTTTTTTATGTTATATGATTAATTCTAGATAAGCAGTCAAATGAAGACTTCTTACTTGGAATAAATGAGGACGGATTTGATTTCGTGACCCTGATAGTGACTACAATATACTTGACGATGATAGTCTGAGTTCTGCTACGGCCACAGAAAATCTTGTAATTAAGAATACAATAAATAATATTAGCGAAATTAGTAATGTTAATGCTAGTGAGATTGATAATGTAAGCGAGAACAATGAAATGGAACTATTATTTGTGTGGGATGAATCAGCTTTTGAAAAAGCAAAAACATTAGCAGATGAAAAAGAATGTAATTATGATGACGAAATTGAGTGGGAGGATTTGGATTATAAATCTTCAGAAATAGTGTCATCAACAATACAGTCAACAGAAATTTTAAATTATCTCTTGAAGGTAATTGTGAAAAAAATAAATTAACACCATGTGTTCTTTTACATATAGTTAATGGTCAAATACAACGATGTTCAAATTACAAACAAAAAACTCAACGACCTTTAGCACAGTTGATTGGTATGTGGGAGATTGATGGTGAGGCATTTAAATCTATAGAAAATGATCAATTATATACTTTAGGTGTTTGTGGATCACACTTTGGTTTTGATCAAAATAACCTTCACGATTCAAATCTTAAAAATTCACAAAGTATTGAAAAAAGTTGGGTATATCGACATCGGTGTTTATTCTGCAATAAAGATAAATATTTTTTTTGCCGTGGTGTTAGCTGTATTCAACATTCTGTATACATAGCAGGACGTGTTGTACAGGTACCTTGTTTAGGTCTCAAAATATGTCTGGTGTTTACTGAAAAGCATTTTAAAATTGTTGAAAATAATGATTCAAACAAAAAAAATAATAATAGCAATAGCAAACATCTTCCACGATATATTTGCACTCAATGCTTTGATACACAAAGTGGTCATTTGTTTAGATGCCAAGGTAGTGAAAATCAACCTTTTTCATATAAAGACAAACATGAAAATGATACAACACAAGCGCTTGAACTTTTAGGACGATGGATTCTAAATGTAGCGACATTAGACAATTCTGAACATAAAGAACAATTATTGACATATTTTAATTCGACACTATCTTTTTTTGATAAAACCAAATCATATACTTCAGACCCACCTAGTCTTTTATATATAAAAATAGCTCTTCGTCTTGGACAAGTTAACCTTACAAAAATAATGAAAAATGACTGTGATTTTACACCTGAAGCATCAAAAAAGGCTGGAGAAACTTTGGGAATTATTATATGGAAATCTCGACATGAAGTGCGTCAGAATAAAGAAATTCTTGAAAATCCGAATTCCTTAACTGAATATCAATCTGCCTTTCCGGCTTGTCTTTCAGGATTTTTTAATGGTCTCATTATGACATTACAAAAAAAAAATATAACATCGTAAATAAAAAAAGAAAACAAAGAGGATTGGAAGTTAAACCTTTTGATCAAGTTAGAGTAAAAAAAATTTTAGTATTTTTTATATCAGTAATTCTTACTATTGCTTTTCCAGCTACCGATATCTGGCTTACACATGTAATGAGCTCTTTGGCACACAAATCAAAATTGTTAACTTCACTTTATAGTATTTTATGCATAGCAAATGTATTATCGCATACTCAGCGATGTGAAAGACGGTTAGAAAAAAATAGAATGATTAAAGCAAACCCGAATCAAAGATTAATAAAAGGCGAGAATGTTTGGAATGTGTCAGTTATTGACAATATTGATTTTAAAGAAAGTACATTTAAATATGGTAATATTTTTGATGATACTTGTGGTACTTCACATGCTACTTTACGATTAGTTTTCCAGTTTACTCTACCAATACCACTCAAGTCTCTTATCAATTTAAACGAACAAACTAATAACAATATATTGTTTGGAGAATCTAATTTTATTAAATTTCAAAGTTCTAAACATGACATTATTTTTAATAAACTTATAAAGTTGTATTCAAGCAATTGGGATATCGATAGCTTATATAATGAACTTACAAAAGATATTCCTTTAGGATGTCAGGTTCCTCGTCCTAACCTTGTTATACTTACTCTGGGTGATCAACCTAATTGTGACTTAAATGTACATAATTCTTGCGAAATGTATTTTAACGATCTTCAACTGACAGAAAATGATTATTTGGATATTGTATCCGACGAGGCTATTTTTTGTAGACTAATTTCATATAAAGATTCAAAAAAAAATAAATCTGTCCGATTGCTCTTAGGTCAATGGCATGCATCAAAAGCAATGTGTACTACTTTGATCACTATTTTTTCAGGGTATGGAATTTTTTCTCTTGCTGCACATCTTGGGGTCCGTTACTTGGATAAACTTGAAAAAGTTGTCAATTACGATGCTACTTTTCACGTTTTGGAATTAATATGGATGTCAGTAGGGATTGTATTAACTAAATATTTAGAAGGTAGAAAGCATAATGAGGTTATAAGCGATATTGAAAAAGAAAATAATATAGTGAAAGTTTGGTTTCTTTATTTTCGTTGGATGAGATATATTATTAATCATAAAATAGAAATACGAAGAGGCAATCATAAATTACAGTTTAATTCCCTGTTGGCATTTTCCCTACTTTTTTTTGTTGCTGGTAAAAGCAACTATGCATGATCATCAACCTATTACTTAGTTCAAGTTTCTAATGATCCTCTGTTACAACAATTACTCAAATATGTAAGTTCAGTAAACCTTACACGTCCTGGCCACTACTTTGCCTTAGATGAAGCATTGGAAGTTTTTGGAGTAAAGTTTATTAAGCAATTCATCAAAGCGAATATGATAGATAGTGAACAACTAAAATTACAAATATCATCAGCTCAATCTGAAAGAGATAGGATTCAAGCACTTTTATCTGAATATATAGGAGACATTGTTACAATAAATAAAGACCGTAATGCACAATCACTAAAAGAAGCTATATGGAAACTTGCTGATGCTTTATTAACTACATTTCAACAATCCGATCCAACAACATATGAGCTTTTCACAAATATAATGGAATTAAATGAAATGGGGTTTTCTTTTATTTCATCATGTTGTGTAGAGGAAATAATTAGGCAGAAGTCTTTATATTGTCAAGAAATTTTAAAAACTGAAGCACGAGTTGTTAAAGGTCGAAGGAGACACGATGTAAATACATATAAACTATCAACACTGCTAAGTAATCATGGTAAAGGTAAAAAAAGAAAAAATATGGATAATGTAATTAGTAAACCTATTACCAATAATAATAATGAATCTGAAAAAAATTCTTCTCCTAAACATATCCGTCGGCTCACAAGTAATAGTGCGAAAGAAATTCTTGCTCAACTACTTACTTGTAACTCTTTTTCTAATGATGACCAATTGTTGTATAAAGTTCTTCATAAACTTCAAGATGTAGATCCAGGTTGGACAAAAGAGCGTGTTATTACATATTGGAGAAACCATAAAAAATAAATTAAATAATTGTACAAAAATTTTAAAGTTTTATTATCTAATCATAAAATTACATACATGTCACTAAATTTAAAGTCATAGAACCAGAAGGAACTGAAAAAAAAAATAATAATAATAAAATTTTATGCTTTCGTCTACATGAATTTACATAGTAATATTAAAATCATATAAAATAATATAAAATAATAACAACTAAAATAAAGACAAGAGTTTCCAATAGAATTACCGCTTTCAACAAATCCTATCTTGTTTCATCCTTGGAATGCTTATATCAATTAATAATAAAATTCATACTATGCTGCAACAGGACCACCACCTTTAGCAGTTTAAATACCATTGTGCTGCAACAGGACCACCACCTTTAGCAATTTAAACACCACTTAAGTACCTTCTATTCTTCTTTAGTCGTCTTCTTATACTATTCATAGCAGTATTGGAAGTTATAGTATCCGCAGAGATCATTGCTTAGCAGATTTTAAATGCTCTGTCATTCTTAGTCTTTACCTTTTGTTCTATACTCTAATGTTAAAATAACTAACTATCTTCAATATACTTTAAATACCACTTAAAATACACTTAAAATCTTTTTTTCAGCTTTGGAGGAATCTCAACTACATAATTATAACGATTTCAACAAACATAAATCGCAGTGTTATTACTCCTTTTTGAACGAAAGATCTTTTTCGGTTTTTTTCCCGTTAAGGTTGGTAGGCTTTTCACTAAAACGATAGAAACCTTGAGTGTAATAAAGGTTATAGCATAAAAGCAAAGTATGTTATGTTTTTACAGAACTAACATAGAGACAAAGATTGCATTTCGTTTAATTTTATTAGAAAAATGAGAAAATTTTGTATGACGATCTTATAGTAAAATATGTTACACAATAAATTAAGGGACATTTCCACTGATCGACAATCTAATTGTTAATTTTTATATATTGTATCATGTGACAATTAGCATCACATGATTACGACGCCAATCACTAGCGTGGAAGCGAGTAATAATATATTTTGGGAATGGATTAAAAAGTAAGTTAATTTTTTAATTTTTTATAATGTTTTATGTTTTTTTTTATTCTAAAAGTTGAGAATATCTTATATAACTTTAATTATTAGGGAGTAGGCATAAAGAATATTTTCTTGTTATTTGGCAGGTATGACGTATACACTTACGAAAAGAATTTTATATTACTTCCGCAGATTTTTATATTAAAATTAATAAGAAATAATGTAAAATTTTTTCCGTCAGTGTTTACATAGTACCTGCCGGATAATTATTAATTACATAACAGCAATTTTTAAGTTCATAAATTTTAATATTTATTATTTGTGTTAATTTAGCCCGTGAGTATAAAGATCATTTATAAATATTGAAATTAAAATCAGCAAATCAAATTCACAATATTTCAAACCGTTTCAGCTCGTGAGTATAAAGATCATTTATTAATCGGAGGAATTACAATCGAGAACATAAGTACTTATTTACTTGATACTCTTCAAATCATTTTTCATTCACATTAATAATTTTATTCAGCTCGTAAGTAGAAAATTATTTGTTAATCGGTGAAACTAAAGTTAGCAAAACAAGTCACAAATAAAGACACAATACTTATCTACCATTCGCATTAATTATTTCATGCAGCAGGTGAGTATAAAGATCACTTATTAATCAGTGGAATTCAAATGGGTAATTACTTTTTGAACATGAACCGAGAGTTTTTGATAGCTCATGATTTGTATATTAGTAATATAATTAGAGCTCCAAATTAAAAACATTATTATTCAACTTCGACATAATTCATCGAGTTGGTAGGAACATAGCAACGCGGACGCGTGTCTCGTAGAAACTATAATAATAACGAAAAGGAAATAAATATTTTAGAAATAACATTTCAGAATCAGCTCAACAACAAGCGTTCTCAAACGCCACCTTCAACAGACTCAAAAAGATCCCTGATTTGTCTGTCTAATCAAGTCAGTAAATCAGATTCTTTATCGAATTCATTGAGAGGTGTTTGAGATGCTTTCAGACCATGTTCAAAAAAAAAAAAAAATTATCCAGATCAGAAGTTCACAAATCAACAATATAAATACTTGCTTATCATTATGTAAAACCCTTTAAATATTTCATTCGTATTAATCATTTATTCAGCTTGTGAGTATAAAGATCATTTATTAATCAGTGGAGTTAAAATGCAAATCAAGTCCATAAATCAAAGAATATAAATGCTTATTTATCATTTACATGATATCCTTCAAATCATTCATTCATTAATTTAGTCGGTGAGTATAAAAGCTATTCATTAGTCTGTGAAATTAAAATCAACAAAATTTATAAATCAAGAACATAAATGCTTTTATAATTACGGTAATGCCCCTCAAATCATTTCATTCGCATTAATCTTTTTAGATTGTAAGTATAAGTTCATTTATTAGTTGGTGAATTAAAATCAGCAAAACAAGGTCACAAATCAAGAGCATAAAAACTTATTTATTATTACATCAAATCATTTCATTCACACTAAATATTTAGTTAGTAAGTATAAAGATCATTAATTAATCATGAAATGCAAAACAAGCTCACAAATCAATACTTATTTACCATTGCGTAATACCTTTCAATCATTTCATTCGCATTAATTAGTCGGTAAGTATAAGATTATTTAATAATCGGTGAAATTAAAATTAGAACATAAATACTTATTTATTACTATATATATACTCTTTAAATCGCATTAATTTAGTAAGTGAGTATAAAGATCATTTATTAATCAGTGAAATTAAAATCAGCAAAACAAGTTCACCAATTTACCACGTAATATCCTTCAAATCATTTCATTCACATTAATTTAGTCCGTGAGTATAAATATTATTTATTAATCGGCGGCAAAACTAGTTCACGAATCAAGAAGCTAATACTTATTTCCAATTACGTGATACCCTTCAAATTATTTAATCCGTATTAATTTAGTCGGTGAGTATAAAGATTATTTATCAATCAATGGAATTAAATCTGCAAATCAAGTCTATAAATCAAAAACATAAATATTTATTTATCATTTACATAATACCCTTCAAATCATTTCATTCGCACTAATTTAGTGTGTGAGTATATAGATCATTTATTAATTTGTGGAATTAAAGTTAGCAGAACAAGTTCACGAATCAAGAACATAAGTACTTACCGCTATGTAATACCTTCAAATTATTTCATTCGCATTAATTTAGTGGGTGAGCATAAAAATTATTTAATAATCGGTGGAAATAAAATCAGCAAAAACAACTTCACAGATCAAGAGCATTAATTAAATACTTATTTATCATTACGCAATACCTTCAAATAACTTCGTTTTCATCAATTTAGTTGGTGGGTATAAAGACCTTTTATTTATTCGTTGGAATTAAAATCAGTAAAACAAGTTTACAAAATCAAGAACATAAATACTTATTTATCATTACATAATACCTTCAAATCATTCCATTCATATTTAGCTAGTGAGTATAATGATTATTATTTTTAAATCAGTTCTCAAAATTAAGATCATAAATATTTATTTGTCACTACTTCAATTAATTAATCCGCACTAATTTAGTTAGTGAGTATAGAGATCATTAATCATTGGAATCAAAATCAGCAGAACATAAATACTTATTTACCATTATGTAATACCCTTCAAATCATTTCCTTCGTATTAATTTAGTCGGTGAGTATAAAAATTATTTCCACTCGATATAAAATTTAAAATCTTATGGCAGATGTAAAATAAAATGATATTTTATGATGATAAAGAAAATCGGAATATAGAAAATGTTCTCATTGTAATGAAGACAACACAAATGGTGCATGGTGTCTTTCATGTGACCCTGACATAACAACACAGTGGACAAGTAAAAATAAAGATATTGATGATTGCGTGAAAGCATTTCAACTTAGAACTTTTGCATATGAGGATGAAATTGAGTGGATTCCATTTGATAGATTATCTAATGTTGAAAAAATTGGTGAAGGAGGATTTGGATCTATATATAAGGCAACTTGGTCAGATGGCATACGAAAAGTTGAAAAAATTAACAACGATGATAATAATGATAGTGACAAAGATAACAACTATATCTATAAAAGAGCACGTGAACTAGACAGCATCGTTGCACTCAAGACTTTATCTAGTTCAAAAACAAATCAAAATTCTCCTGATTTTTTAAGTGAGGTAGGTTAAAATTGTATTCTGCAAACTTACTTATGTAATAGTCTATTGAACTAATGCTTTTATATAATTTATAAGTTTAAAAATCACATGCAATGTAAATTATTTGGTAGTAAACTTCAGGTATATGGTCTAACCTATGACTCAAAAACCGATGAATATCTCATGGTATTTCAATATGCTAGTGATGGAAATATTCATAAGTTTTTACGATCAAATTTTAATCAACTTACATGGAAATTCAAATTAGAGCAACTCAAAAAAATATCCGAGGATTTAGGCCAAATTCATGATGCTAGTTATATTCATGCTGATTTTCATAGCGGCAACATTCTTCACGATAAAGGTATTTCTTATGTATCGGATCTAGGTTTATCTAAAAAGAAAAATGAAAATAGTACGGAAGGAGTTATCTTTGGAATCATGCCTTATATTGCTCCGGAAGTTTTATCAGGTGAAACCCAGTTTACACAAGAAGCAGATATCTATGGTTTTGGTGTTATTATGGCCGAAATGGCAACTGGCCAAAGATCTTTTGATGGTCATAAATTTGATATTGATCTTGCAATCAAGATTTGCGGTGGATTGCGACCAAAGTTTACTTCTGGAACTCCCGATTGTTATGTTGAATTGGCAAATCTATGCATGAATTCAGATCCACAAAAACGGCCTTTTGCTTCGAAAATTTATTTTACAATTGATGGTTGGCTTAAAAAGTTGGCTTCAGATGATGAAAGTAAAATTAAAGAGCAGTTTTTAATTGCTGATGAAATTATTAAGATATTACCAATAATTT